TCATTTAAATACACATTTCAATATTATTATTTTACAGTGATTTTCTGTTGATTAAAATTAAATACCATATAAAAATAGAAAAATTAAATATCTCAATTAAATTAAAATTAATTGAAAGGCTTCTCAGGAGCTAAATCTAAAAATCTTTGTACAATATATGTAATTTAATTAAAGTAAATATTCAATATATTGCTACTCCAGAAATACATTTATGTATGCATATGTACGAGTATAAACTTGACCTATCTTTCGTATAAATTTTCGACACTTTAAATTGCTTAATTTTGTGTAAATCGAAAATTGTTTATTCCACAAATATTAAAATTAATAACACAATATTTCATTTAAATTAAACATTTACATACATGCATATATGCAAATATAAATGCAAACAATCTGCTTGCATGCTGCAACTTCTGGCATGCTTAGATGAGGCACAAAATCTTCCTGCACTCGAAGTGCTGGCATCCTTTATGCTAATAACTTAAATGGCTTTGGAACTTGCAAAGTTAAGCCAACACGTTCAAGCAGAAAACAAGAGCCGTAAATTGCCCAATAGCTTGCTTTCCTGTCAATAAACCTTCTCATGTCTGAATTGGTGTTGCAAACTTCAATCAAGCAAAAATGCCAAATCTCAAACACAGGTCGAGCTTAGGTTGATGAAATGTTCACTTCAAAATGTGCAGGTAAATATTTAAATTAAAATAGTGTTTTCTTTCTGTTAAGCCACATATTAAGTAATAATATTCATATAAATTTTATGAAAAAATGTATATTTCTTTTAATATATCATAAAGTACCTTTTACTTATCATTTTATAGATAACATAGAAAGGTAATATGGCACAATCCAGGAAGAAAAATTTTACTTAAGTGTGGCAACACCACAAGTACAGAAATTGTAGGATTAAAAATGCCAGTAAATAATAAATGGTAGGATCAATAGTCAATTCATATGTTATATAGTATAACATATAAAATAAAAAGTATTTTAAAATCCTAAATTATTTATTAAAGCGATTAAGTCAAACAAATAAAATATCCTTGTTTCAAAATCGACTCATTTACTTGTAGATATTTCCAAGTTTCAATTATTTTTCAATTAATACATATAATTTTTTAAATTAATAAAAACCTTTCATGTTTCAAATGGTGAGAGAATATCTCCAGGCTCACCACTATAACTTAACCTCAACTAAACATAACTAATAAAATAAAGCGCTAGCGAACTAAAAAGTGGAACCTAATTGCACTAAAAATATGTATTTCAAGTGAGAAAGTTCGAAGCTACTCTAACTAGACGACACGTCCATTTAACAACAGTTACCATTCAAATCAACTATTATTAACAATTTCTTCTACTTCTATATAGCCAACTTCTTAAGATATCAATCTTTAGTTTTACACGCCAACTAGTACAAGCAATTTATATAATAATTACACATACCCCGCGTATATCAATCAAATAAAAATTATTGTAAAATTAAATTATTCTTTAATTTTTATTTTTTAATAACAATAAAAAGAAATTTTTGACAAATTAGTATCATAAAAACACTTTATTGAAATTGTTCGGTCATAAAATAGTTAATATGAATAATTATCTAAATATTGGTATCCTAAATTTTGGTACCGTATAAATTAGGGTATATTGGGTATCAGCAAAAACGAACCGCATTTTGCTTTTTAATGTCTTTTCCGGTACTAAAAAAGGAATTGTTTTTTAATGGTGAACATTATAAAAAAAAGTCTAAAGTGATAGTTAGCAGCACTAAAAAAACTATAATTAATGAATGTACATAATCATTTCATGCAATGTACAAAATATTAAGTAAGGATAATATTACTCTATATAATTTCTGATATTTGCAGTTCAATCTATACAGAAGGTCGGCATTATCACAATGCTCCATTTCAGAAAGCCAGAACTTTGCTTATTCTTATTTTACCCTAAACTCTCATCTAATTATACAGCATGTGGTCCCCAGAATCTCTTTGAAAGCACCTTGACAAACCTTATGTACTATTTTTACAATTATGTGAGCGGTAATCCATCTCTAGAGACAGTCTTGTAGAAACTCGAATCGAATTACAGTCACAGCAGGTACAGATGATTGGTTCGAGCTGAATGCAAAATTATTCGGTCATAAAGCCTCCGATCCTATCGCTGACACATGTGTTTGGTACTGATATTTCCTTCAGACACCAGATGGATCTCAGATATTCCAATGAGATCTAGCGACAAATATCCAAAAAATTGCTCGAAATACTAAAGTTTAAATAAATCTATAAAGATATTAAATTAATATTGAAATGTGCATTAAAATATGTAATTAACGTTAGTTCAATTTTAATAAAGGCTCCAATTTATTCTTACCAACTTCAGTGAAACATGAGATCTTCTGTATTTACGTGCAAAGTATCCGCAATGAATTTATCCTTTAGTAGAATTCTTAGAATAACGCAATTTACATTATGCATTACATTCACCCACATAAGTAAAATAAAAACAGAACCTAGTATTAGCATCTGATACCCAGTCTGCGTATTAGGATTTGCATAATAGTACGAACTTCCGTACTTAGCCAATAATTCTTAGTATGCAAAAATGCATAAAAAGTAGAAGTGCCTTAACCATTTCAACACTAAAAGACGAAGCATGGAATGCGAAGGATAATGTCTAACATACAAAGGTAAATAGATGTCTACTAGCGAGAATTGCGCAAGAAGTTGTATCTTTTTGGCAAATAAAATAAATACGCATATGTGTGCTTTAGCGATTTATTTGTTTAATATTAAATGAAAATGTTTCTGCAACGAAAGTAGCAAAAATTCAAAGGAACTCGGAGTTTGTGAAGGAAGCATGGAAACACATGTAAACTCCTACACACATATATTCTATATAAGCGGATTTTAATATTACTTAAGCACTTATTGCCACCTACAATGACTCTCTTGAAATGCATTGTTGAAACATAAATACTCAAAAGATGCAAACCACTTCCAGGGAATGTTTCTCGAAATAATTGTAGTTGTGCTATTACAATTTTGAACATTTTCAAGTACCATTGCTAAGAATATATATGTTCGTCAGGTATTATAAAATTACATTCAATTATAAAGCACTTTAAATTTTTTTTTTTAAACATATTTTGATACTTAGTAATATAACATGTATCTGCCATTTTTGGTACTTTTTTCCTTTACTCCAAATTATTTTTAATAAAGTTTATATTGGCCATTATAAATAATAATGGGTATTCACTATTTTTCGGGAAGTTTCATAAAACCATCCGTGTAGAAACTTGGTCAAGTGATTTTTAGCAACTCTAAAAGTGAATTGTGCAGAGACCGAAACAAATAGTAGTCAGAAAGTGCTAAGTTTAGACTATACAGTGGATTCACACATCTAGGTTCGGGCTATACGGTTCTTGCATCAAAACTTCCCAGCCAAGTTGCATCTATTTATGTCGACTGATCAAAGATGTGTGTAGTTTAGTATTATCTTAGTTCCACACAACTCATTTTCAATTGACTAATTCTTATTGCGTTATTTTGACAATTGGTCTAATCAAGCGAATTGTGAACAGTAGAAGTCTGAATTAACACGTAATACACAGTTCATTTCTAATCCCAACATACATTTAACATAACCTTATTTACCGTCCATTCAGGATTCGAAGACGTTTCGATCATCAGGTTTTGACTATATGTTAGATATTATCGTATTTAATCCATTTTTAATCATCTATAAAGATTCCTTTTTCCTTTTTGTTTCACCTTTTACTGATGGTAATTCGGTTAAATAAATTTTTTTGCATTTATATATGTGGTACCCAAACATCGAACATATCTGCTCTTTTGCAATGATTTCAAACTGTCATATTGTGGATGTCAAATGCCTCTACTATTTCCTGATAGCTTGCGTATCTCTGTCTCAATCAACCAGTTGCTAAATTTCATCGTTAGTGACTGATCGACCAGAGCGAGTTATATTTTTAACATCAAAATTTCCGGATCGGAATTGAGCAAAGCACCGCTGGGTCCAGCGTTCAGTCACAGCACTTCACCGTAAACTGCAGATATTTTTCGGTGTGTTTCTGTCGAATGTTTTACAATAAAGCATCGCTTAGCAACAACTTACACAAATGACTTCACAACAAATGTCACCATTTCACATAATTGGATTTATGTTTTCAGATATATGGGTGGCAATTTTATAGATTGACAAAAAATGACGAATACTTTTTGCCTAACATAAAAAATTTAGTTATGTTCTTATATAAATTAAAATCGGCTCTTTGTGTCATTTCGGTGTTTCGAGGTTAAAAAATCCAGTTCCTTATGATTTCTTTAAAAATAATTTAAAAAATAGGATTTACATCCTACGTGACATATACTGGAATAATAATTAAAGTTAGAAGATCACGTCACGCATTTCATTTATATATGAATACATCCATTGGTTTATGAATAAATATATTAAAAAGTCATATTCTCATATGTATTATTTTGAAGAGCTTTATTTGAATAACCCGTTGATCAAAAAATAAAACTATATATTTTATAATTTCCTTTTCCGTAGTTATCTTTAAAAGCACAAAATACTTCAATGTTTCCAATAATTTATTATCAAAATACTAGGTATATATAAGTTTTTATTATCTTTAGATGATATCAACAAAGAAGAGACCTATTCTCTTAGCTTTGGTCTACTGACACATTTCCGTCTTAGCGAATGTGCAACTGGCACACTTATATTTTAATTATCTTAATCAATTTTATTCTATATTTCTTTTATTAAAATTCACTTAAATAAGCATCTTCTCATCCTTAAAAATTTTGGAAATTTTAATTTTTAAATAAACCATTCTTTTTATAAAAACATACTGAATACTAAGCTGTTCCTAATACTTCTTAAGACAACTTACAAGTAAAACAAACATATTAATTAGATTATAATTAAAAATATAATACTTTTAATAACAATAACTACTGTTTCGTAACTATGCAATAATTTAGTACTTAACATTACTTAATAAAATATAATGTATAATATTAACGAAATCAATGTGCTTTGGCTTTGTATGAAATTTTCCATACTTCAAATAAGCAAATTGTCGAATGAAATCGGTAGAAAATAGCTAATGGCATTGCAATATGCGTAATGATGGTCCAACCCCAGACGCCAAAAAATATCAAATTGGTTTCGCGGAAAGCAGCACGACCCTTTATCAGCGTATTTATGAACCATATTGCTATGTTTGCCACTAGTAAGAATGTGATGATTTCACGGCCGGGCTTCTTGCGTTGCTGCTTGGCGCCCTTACAACGCCGGTGACTAGCGTGAAGGATAAACATTGTTTGCAGCGATGTTTGTGCCAAGCCAAATGTTTCCGCAATTATACCTTCAATACGATCCGGCACTGAGTCCCACTTTGAGAAGTAACTGCCCATAATGCTGAACATTCCATAAAGATATACACCTGTCTGTGCTACTATTAATAGCAGATTATCCAATTCCATGGAATGATGATCTTCGCCAGAAACATTCACATACTTTAAATCACGCATCACAATCAAACCTTTAAGAAAAAAGAAGACTTTAAGTGGCAAAATTTTTATAAATAAGTCAGCAAGTTATAATTACCTGAAACTACGGCTATTCCACACAACAAATACATAACTGTTTCCCACAGAGTAACTTCCTGTGTGGCAATTAGTTCGTATCCCGGCTGCGTGTATAAAACGAAATACATTATCATTGAAATAATTGTCATTACAATCACAAGTATTCCAAAAAAGAGACCACGATGTGATTGTGAGCAATCTACAGAGAATTGATGTGCAGGTTTCTGTACAGCAGGCTTAATAGAGTGCTTGCGTGTCTTATCAATATCTGGTATAGATTTGACTGTTTTCCACATTTCATACAAGATAACGGCACAGATAAGTGAATACTCAATGGTGCAAGGAAAGAGGAACGGTGAAACCTCTTGCACTAATGCGCCCATAATGTTTGTTCGTGTACAGCTGGCCGAGTGACCAGGTGACAAAATGGTTTGATTAGCTATTATTGACTTCGTTGTATTCGATATAAAATGTGCGGATACTGGTACAACTGGTCCAACCTTAACATGATGCTGTGGTACATGTAGAGAGGCATTAATTGCAGTCCAATTAACACCACCATTGAAGCCACTCGTCAAGGCAGGATCATGTGCCGGATCCACGTCATGCAATCCGATGTGGAAAATTTCATGCTTTGTTTCTTCAACTAAAACATAAAGCCATTCGCACAGATTCGTTGCTACCATATGCATCAAACCGAAACGCGAAGTCACCTTGTGACGTGCCATATCAAGATATGTTGTATTAAGGAAGATAAACTGCACTTGTGCAATACACAACACCATACGGCAGATTGGAGTGATTGCTACAAATATATTTCGACAGCCTGGTTGGCCATTTAACTCAAAAAATTGTCCAAACTCCAAGCCTGAATAGACCATTGTGCCAATAGCGAATGCAATAGCGCCAACTCTTAGGTAGAAACTTCCGAAATGTGTTACTTTATGTTTTAGATGAACATTGCTACTTCTTTCATCTGAAATTAAGATTTTAAATAAGTATTTATAGTAGAATTTCTAAAGAAAAAACAATTTTGATCTAGAAAAGCTTATACTTATGCAATACTCTTGAGAAAGCATAACATTGAAAATTCTTTGTAAGATGATAAATAATTTAAATACTTTACAAACAAGGGCAAACCACTATATTAATCTGACCTCAGTATCGAGTGTTTTTTTTAACTGCAAGAGAACTTAAAATGATAGTACAAGACAGAAAAATTTTTCGGATGAAGCGTTTTTTATTGTAATCTGATAGTTAATTTTATGTCATTTATATTTTGGATATGATTTCTGACATATAATATATCCATCGCGGCTACAAGTTAAATGGTCCATAATTGTAGTCTTATGACGGCAATGGTGGCTTCAATATTTGCATCCAATGCTTTAGGAGTTACTAGTTTGGGGTCATAAACCAATGACTTAACATAACCCCATAAAAAGTAATCGGTAATCGAGAGGCGTTAAATCGCACGAACCAGGGGGTTCGTGCGACAATTAACAGAAGTTCTCAATGAATCGATTGTTAAGTGCGCTGTATTGCAAGTTGCGCCGTCATATTGGAACCAAATGTCATTGATGTTTAACTGATTAATTTATGGCAAAAAAAATTCAGTCAGCATGGCTCGATACCGCTCACCATTCAGCGTAACGGCATATCCTGCCGATGATGGCGTCAACGTGTAAATCGCACCAAACAATCAATTTGAATGGATGTAACGGTGATTTGTTAACGACTTGAGAATTATCTTGAGAAAAACGATCAATAACCTCGGTAATTGCTTGTTCTCTAGGTCGATTATGTTGACCGTAAAATGAACGAAATCCTTTATAAACTAAGTAAATTTCTACAATATGGAAACGTTCTTCTTCCTAAACAAAAATATCAACACAGTTTAACATTCTCAACTGTCACTCATTCATTCTAGGTTATATTTTTTATGAGATAGAAAGCATAAACTATAAGTACTATATTCATTTAAAATATGTCTTTATTAATGTTTATAAATAAATAGACCTATAACAAAAACAAGGTCCTTCCTTGAATAAGATATTTAAATTTAAATTAATTGTTTACCATATAATACATGATATATATAATAAAAATATTGCATATAAATTTAATGTGAAAGCTTTAGAGTTCAGTATATTTATATCATAGCTTAATTGGTTTTAATATTCAATTATAATACTAAATCATATAACATATTTACTGATCTACATAAAAATTTACTTACGAAAGTTCTTCAGTGCCTTAAATAATGTGCGATTTCGAAAAGCGGATATATAAAGAAATATGACGAAAATGATGCTACCAGCATAGAGATAAACATAAAAGCCTTGATAGACGTAATTTGGTATTTGATCTGAGATCACTTCGGTTATGGGGAAGCAGAAACCAAGCAGTACTAGTAATTTGCAATAAGTGGCAGATAGCGCTGCAGAAAGTGCATCACTAAAGCAGAAAGAAAGAAAAATTATTTTTTTTATTTTAAGAGAATTACGTGAGAATTATAGATCACTGCATATACTTACTTGCCCTGTCTTCTATTTTTGATAAGTGATTGTTTTGCCATATAACCTTTAGGACCCGTGTCATTTCCTCCAGTGCCACCATTTTGAAAATTGATTGTTGCCGTACTACCAGTTGCGGTGCCATTGAGGGAACTGTAATGTGATATTTGGGAATATATTTGTTAGTATCTCTTAGAAATTAAAAAACAAATAAATGGATTTTAAAACCTGTACCCTGCATTGTATGGAGACTTTGTTGAGTGACTACGATCTTTTTTAGCTCCACCATATAATAATGATGGTCGAGTTAAGATTTCTTGCAGCAAGACAGATGGTCTTCGTGAAACTTGTAAGGTTGGCACTACTAACGAAAAGCCGGAACTATCGCGATGCATTGGTGTTGGATTGGGTATGAGAGCTTGACGTGCGTTTGATGTTTCGACTAATTCAAAATTACTACCTTCTGATGATTTGACCAACGGCGATATAGGATGTGACATAATAACCAAATTTTGGTTTGTGCAGTTATCACAGGGATTTGGTGTGTAGTGAACAATCGTTGTCGTTAGCGGTGAAATCGGCTTTTGGTAGAGTTTAGCTAATGAAGCGGATTTTCTCGGAGGCAATGCTATGCTCTCGCTATTATCAATGGAAATTTGTTTGCTAATAGCAATGAGAAAAAACTATTTAAACTTAGTTTGTATAAGGAAAAAGTGAGTTAGAGAGAAGAAGTGTTTTGATGCAACAAATTAGGTAATGGTAGCATGCAGGGAGAGGTAATTAAGATGACAAGCTTTTTGTTAGTTGTGTGTTATAAATCAATATTAAAATCATCATACGAGAAAGAGTTAAGGGAATGATAAAATGAGAAAATGAGTTTATTATTACTGACAATCATTATGATAATAAACTAATAATATAAATGTAAAATTTTGCAAATGTTAGGGTACACATAGGTATATGTTATTAGAAGGATATTCATCTATTTGAACGAAACTAGTCCTACAAATATTTCGGTAATTTAATCAAACTTAAATTTTTTTGTAATTTTATTTTACATTTAAACTAACATATAAGGTGCCAAGTGTCAAAAAAAGTTCATATAATGACTCTTATCTCTTGTAGAAAAACAGTACGTAATTCCCATCATATAACGATCACAGGAAAAGGATGTGTTATAGAAAGAAAATTTTGTCTTCAATTTGACATTTCACTTAAACTACTGGAATATAAGCTAATTGAGGGATTTGCAATGAATGTTTTGAAGTAAAACAATTTTAATAACCTTCTTCTCGGTTAATGTTAAAAATGACCTACCCCATCCATCCCATACATTTTTTTTCATTCTCCAATTAATAAAGCCTTTCACTTTCTTAAGCTGAATAAGTCGATTACACCCCGTATATGCATATCAAAATCACGAGTGAGAAGTAATAATATTGATAAAATATTTAACATAGTTGGAAAGAAAAAATATTACTAAACAATAAGTATTTTTATATTTCTATACTTTATTATATATCTATTGCAAAATATCCTTTTGCACGTACTACTACTAATCTTCATTCGCAAAATTTTTTAACAAATTATTGATGTATACATATATCGAAATACATTGGACTCCTAAATTTCGCATGTGTAGATCATTAGAAGATATAAAAAACTTCATATTTGATTAATATATGAAGTCCATCAAATTCTTTACACGTGATTTTAATTAAATCGCATTATAATTTGATAAAATTAAACATGATAATGATAGCTCAAATATGTTAAATAAAATAAAATTGCAGACAAACTATCCAGACAATAACGAAGCTTTTGAAAAGTAATTGGAACTGCCGAAAATCAACTTTTGATAACCGATTGTACAATATCATAATAACTAACAATTCACTACTAATCTGAGATACAATTAGCGAATTGATAGATAAGTTTTTTGTTATTCAATTTGAAGCAACTTTTCTAAGAAATCGCTAAAAATTGATATTATTTAATGTTGTTTAAAAAGTTTTTAAATGACTATTTATTAGTTCCAGATTATAAATCTGTCTATAATAATATTAGAAAGTTGGGAACTAACAAATAAAATTATACTTCTCCAGATCTGTCAAATCAAATAATTTTAAACTGACTGTAAAGCCTCGAAAACATAATAAGTCTTTAGAATTATTATTATTAGCATTTAACATGCTAAATTCCTGTAGATGATTTCATCGAAGTAACGTGTTAAATGGTGCTGTGCATAATGTACATAATTATTAAAGTATAAATTAATGAAAATGTATTGTATATATTAAATATTTTTACTTCTTTTGAATAGTGTTTTATTTCAATAATATTAATAAATCATATTGAAATATAAAAAGGAATTGCATTTCTTAACAATGTTATTTTTGAGATGAAGAAAATTAATTTAAAAAATTTTAAAGATTTTTTTAAATATTCATAGACTGGCTGCCGTTGTAACTACTTATTTCATTTAACAACTCCAATTCTAACAACTGCATTTAACTTATTATATTGCAACCCTGTTTCATTTTAGATTTATTATAATATTACAACAGTTATCGTAATCAAAAGACTATAGCTCGTTAATACTCCATTTATTACCATATATTCCTTTATGAAATAAAGAGGATACATTGTAAGCAGAAATAATGAAAACATTGTTTAAATATTAAATTTTCCAGCTTTTCATTTCTCATTAAAATTTAACGAAACTTTCTTTCAGCAAGAATAAATTAATGGTTTTCAACTTTTGAGTACGTCTCAAAAAAAATTTTAAACTTTTATTTTCTTAATGACCATTAAACTATAATTGCATATTTTATTTATTGGGTCATACGCAACAAACCCATGGAACCCGGCGAAAAGACAGGCTTAATACAGCATTGCGAAAAACAATAAACACTAAAACTGACAATTCATTTAACGAGCTCAGACAACTGACACAGAATAGAAATAGATAGAAATCATCTATTCGTTCCTCTACAAAAGGAAAGAAAGAACGAACGTTCAATACGAGAAAACATAGGTCACAACTATTTTCACTGGAAACCCAGACAGATGAAAAGAACTTGTTTCTAACATATTCTTAGCAAGTGTTCTTCCTATTTGTACTCATAACTCATAAGAAAAATATTTTACTTGGATATATCTCTCTGACTATTAAACTTAATAAGTGAAAATACCAGTACTGTAAACTTTCTTGTGTCATAAACATTCTTTAAAATATAATCCTGTTGACACACTCCTATCATATGAAGAATTCTAATTTATAAAAAAAAATTATGAAAAGGAAAAAAATAAAACTTAACATCCATTGACGGAAAGAATATAGATGAATATAAATATTAGGTTACTTAAAGTTTTTCAGTAACTCTTAAAAATATGGACATGTTTTTTTGAATAATGTATTGCTGAGTGTAGTTATAAGAGATAACTATGACAATTATGATTTATATCCTGATTTAATAGATTACCAATGCGCCGGCTTTGATACCCTCAATTTATTTTCAAGAATAATTTAAGTAAATATCGAAATTGAACAAAATGTCTATAAAATAGTTAGGTATTATTATGCATTTGGAAAAAATTTTGTTGCATAAAAATATATATATTTATATAACTTTCGATTCTTTATGTACTTTAAAAACTTTCTTCACAACTAAATTGAACCGTTTCGTAACCGTTTCGTAACCGCTAAGTTTAAAGTTTTCCGCAAAACTGAACAAATTTTGGACGAAACTATTATGTGTTCAAATTCTAAGTGGTCAATGTCTTTGAAAGTGAAAGAAGATACATAATTGATATAGCTGACATTGTCAATGATGATATGATTGATTTCTTTGTATTCGATGTGGATTAGTTTCCAAAAGCGAAGATAGCAAAAACACGATACAGACCAACACAAACGGAAAGTTCAAGTTCGGTTGAAGACCACCACTTGCAAGGGAATCGCTGATTTAAGTACTTGTGTGATAAAAAAAAAAATAAATGAAAATTACTTATATAATTTAAAATTAAAGTCTCATTTTTTTGTTTTGTTTTGTTTTTACACTGGCGTTTTTTGCTTTTATCAGTATTTATAAAGTAATTTTACTTTTTTATAATTGTAAATATTTGTTCAACATTTAAAAGTGTATCATCCATCAATCAATGATTATATTTTTTTACAAACACATAAATATGATATATACATTTATACATTTAAAAAATGTTCATACTTTACAAATATTTTTGTTTATTTTTTATTTATTTGCATTATTTGAATTACTTTAATGTTTATTTCAATTTATATTAAAAGTGGGACGTAGTAGACATTGCAATAGAATTAAAATATAACTCCCATTACTGTAGCAATGCAGATTGAGTGTATATATATCATATATAACATTGTAATGTTTTTTTTTTATTTTATTTTTGGCAAATGAAAAATACAAGTCACACCTTCGATTTATTCTTATATAACAACTATATTTCTCTTAATAAATCTAAGAGTGACTATTTCAACTTCTTGTTTGTGCTTGTCACGTACACCCCCCATTAAATGAATGTTGGTAAATGCCGACATTTAAGTTTATAAAACTTATAATTATAACTTATAATTATACTTATAATTATATATTATTTATAAAAATTTTTATACATAAAATATTATTTATATAATATTGATCTCGCCCGTGCGACGAATGGAGTAACATTAGCATGACTTTCTCAGCATTACGTTCCTAGATGCCTCTACGAAAAGAATAGTATTGAAATTTAATAATTAAAAATATAAATATAATTAATTAATTAATTAAATTCTTTTACAACTGGTTAATGATTTCGTTCTAACATAAACAAAGCAAGTAAAATTGTTAATAAAAGTTTTCATAGCAAAAGTAACAAAACTCCAGAAAAATATGCGAACAAAAAAAAAACTCAAGTACGGCTTTGGATCAGTTGGTTAAGGTGCGCTGATTCTGAGCTTCACATATAGCAGGACCCGAGTTCGAATCCTGGTACTTGCAGTCTCAAAAAAATAATTATAATTAAATACAAGAATTATATCCAAGACCACTGATGATGGGTATTTGGCAATACTCGAAACAGTAGTTCACTACTCTCTTTTTAAAATTTTTTATTTATTTGTGGACCTCATAAAAATTTCTACCAAATAGGATGTGATAAAGCCAATTATGTCAAATCCGTCCCATTTGTAAAAGAATGACTCATATATCAAGTAGTCTTTATTTTAACCAACTTCTGAAAGTAAACCCTTCATCCAGGAAATGAAAAATATACATATACGAGAGTGAATCTATTAACCACGTATATGAAGGTCACCCATAAAAAACTTTCGTTGAAAAAACATAAATATATCATCAAAAAATATCATCAAAAAAATTATAAAAAAGAGATTTTCTACAAAAATTATCAAATATTTGTTTAGAAAATTAATATTATTTTAAGAACAAAAATATTTTACGCATTAAATTATTCTGTTGTTATGTTTAAAAAATCGAAAAATGCTTACGATACTTGGACGAATAATTTTTAAAAAATTTTGAATATATTAAAGCTTAAAGTTTTTCAGGCAGACCTTCGTCATACATTAGTTTTATCGAATAAATCATCAAATTCAAAGTCTAAGTGATGTGAAAAAGTGCAAGTCA